CAGTCATTGCTGAGATGTAAAAATGTAGACCGAGTTCATCCCGGGATCTCGCGTAAATAGAGCTACAGGCGTATCGTCGCCGTTCTACGCGAACTTCGCTGCGCGTGAACTTGGCGTCGAGGCACCATTCGTGGCTCTTGACATGTACTACTGTGACCAAATATAAACGAGATTTTTAAATTTAAACTGCGCGGGTTCATCAATTCTGACAAATATTTTTTTCATTAAGTTGGTAGTACTGTCTTTGACATCTGTGTGAAATTTCATGTCATTCTCTTCATTTGTTTAATAGTGAACGCTCGTTTTTGTGAATATCCAAAAGTATTTTTTCGATTTTTACGATGTATGATTCTGTTGGGCAAAGAAATTGTATTTTATTTTGTTTGCGGAATGAAATTTCTGCTACTGAAACGTTCAGAATGTTGCAGAAGGCTTTTGGTGACCAGGCTCTATCAAGACCAAGAGTATTTGACTGGTATATAATGGTATAAAATGTTGAAAGATAGTCGAGAAAGCGTAGAAAATGAACCACATCAAAGGCGACCAAAAACATCAACTGATGAACAACACGTGAAGCAAATCAAGGATTTGGTGCTCCAAAATCGTCGATTGACAATTAGAGAACTTGCCGATACTGTAAACATTTCATTTGGATTAGTCCAGATCATTTTGAAAGACCATTTGTGTTTGAGAAGAGTCAAATCTCGTTTGGTTTCGAAAACACTCAATTTTTTTGGAAAAACAGCGTCGCGTTGAAGTGTGTGAAACAATGATTTCTGACTACCAGGGCAAGATGAAACGCATGATAACTGGAGATGAGACTTGGATCTATGCGTACGACCCGGAAACAACCGACCAATCGAGCGAATATCGTGCAAAAGGTGAGGCAAGACCAAAAAGATCGTGTCAAAGTCGTTCAAAAATCAAGGTATTGTTAACAGTTTTCTTCGATTATCATGGTGTGGTGCATTATGAATTCCTTCCGCCGGGCCAAATTGTCAACAAGGAATATTATTTGAGTGTTATGCGTCATTTGCGTGAAGTTATTCGCTTCAAGAGGCCAGATTTATGGGCAGACAACTCATAGTTTTTGCACCACGATAATGCGCCATCTCACACTGCACTGGTTCTTCGTGACCATTTCGCCAAAAACTCGACCCATATCGTTCCACAACCACCGTATTCGCCTGATTTAGTACCGTGTGACTTCTGGCTATTCAGTAAACTCAAAAGACCGCTCCGGGGACACCGTTTTGAATCGATTGAGGAGATACAAGTCGAAACGAAGAAGATATTGAAGGCCATTCCGGAAGAAGAGTTTTCAGAGTGTTTCGAGGATTGAAAAAAGCGTTGGCATAAGTGTATTGCATCGGGAGGGGATTATTTTGAAGGCGATGAATTTGATTTTGAAGAATAAATAAAGATTTTTCACTCTATAACAAAAATCTCGTTTATATTTGATCACAGTAGTATGTGTGATAATCCATGTTTTTGACATTCTATTACGTAAACGAGGATTTCACAAAAAAATTTTTGTCTAACAATGACATCAATCAAATAATTCTTTTTATATTTAAATACACGAGCACAAATATCTGATCTGTCTGCAGGTTTTTGATTCGGAAGTAAATTTTC